CTCATTTCCACACACCACACAGTTTTTTGCTCTCCCTTCTCTCTAAAACTTCTCTCTAGAATCCCTCCGACGCATTTCCGGAGCTTCTGAGTGCTTTTTTGAGTGTTTTTTTGGCGTCTAGAAGAGTTTCCTGCGTCGTGTAGAGTGAAGGGCTGCCAAAAAGCACCCATTTTTGTTAAAGAAATAAAAAAAAAGCTTGCTTCGGAGGTTTAAATTCTCTCTCTCTACTTTTACTGCTTTAATTTTAAATGATGCAATAGATTAGGGCCATGTAGTCATAAATTTAAATTCCGCATAATAAAAGGGCAAAAACGTTATTTTCACCAGTTTAAATATTTTTAGATAGCTGGCCTATCATAGGGAACCCGAAAGGGGCGTAGTAAAGGAACTAATACTTCCTTTACACGTAACTAACTCCCTTACCCAACTCTGGTTCTAATGACCAAAGTTGGTTTTTGAAAACCAACGCCTTTTAAACCTCCTTTTCCGATGTTTCCGGTAAAAACATCGGTGGCGACTCCACAAAACCCTACAAAATTAGTCCTTGGGTTAACCCGGTTATCGGACAACCCAAGGACGCCCTTTCGAAAACCTCGCCCCTAGGTTAGCCCGGTTATCGGACAACCTAAAGGCGTTGTAACCACCCATAAAAAGGCGAAAATCAAGAGGGTCGAAAAAAACCATCGCATCGCTCCGACCGACCTTGTCTCTCTTTTGAGACGGCGGCGACAATTCTATTTAAAACATAACATGCAGTACTAACCGCATCAGCCCAAAAATATTTAGGAACATTAGATTCATTTAACATAGTTCTAGCAAGTTCCTGTAATGACCTATTTTTCCTTTCAACTACACCATTTTGTTGGGGAGTCCTAGGAGCAGAAAAGTTATGTAATATTCCATTTTCTTCACAATAATTTTCAAACTTTTCATTTTGAAACTCACCACCATGGTCACTTCTTAAAACTTTAATTCTTAAGTCTTTCTCATTTTGAATTTGTTTTGCAAATTTTCTAAAGACTTTAAAGGCTTCACTTTTCATAGTTAGGAAAAATGTCCAAGTATATCTAGAGTAATCATCAACAATTACAAGGCCATAATAATTTCCACCAAAGTTTTTTATCCTAGAAGGTCCAAATAAATCTAAATGTAATAATTCTAGGGGTTTTGAAGTGGAAATAACATTCTTTGATTTAAATGATGATTTTACTTGTTTACCCTTTTGGCATGCATCACACAATCTATCTTTTTCAAATTTTAACTTATGCAAACCAATAACTAAGTCTTTTGAAATCAATTTGTTCAAATGATGCATATTTATATGAGTCGCTCTCTTATGCCATAACCAAGGGTTCTCTTCATTAGCAACTAAACATGTTATGCTAGAACCATGTAAACAATCCAAATCAATCAAGTATATGTTGTTATGTCTAATGCCCTTTAATTCTACATTTTCGAAATCTATCAAATGTATAGTGCAAAATTTACTTTCAAATATTACCTTAAAACCTTTGTCACATAGTTGACTTATGCTAAGGAGATTATGCTTAAGTCCATCAACAAGAAGCACATCCTTGATCTCCAAAGTGTTTGCACCACCTATGTTTCCAATTCCAAGAATCTTCCCTTTGTTATTGTCCCCATAAGTTACATATCCTTGTTCCTTAGCTTTGAAACTCACAAATTTAGATTTATCACCGGTCATATGTTTTGAGCATCCGCTATCAAGATACCACATCGACTTCTTTGATTTGGAAGTTTCCTACAAAACAAGAACATAATAAACTTAGGTCCCCACAACTTTTGGGTCCTTGGGGTTAGAGACATAACAAATTATTTAACAATAGGAACCCAAATGTATTTACCTTTAGGAACACCAAAATGTTTAATTTTACATTTATTTGAGGTGTGACCTTGTTTCATGCAATAAAAACATGCTTTTGATGTAGCTTTAGACTTAGATGCATTACTTACAAAACTTGCTTTAGATCCTTTTTCAACCCATACTCTTTTATTTTTCCTTTTAGCCTTTTTCAAAGGAACTTGATGATTTACATTATTTTGAGCAAACACCATTTTATGCTTCTTAAGATCATCTATTTCCTTTTCGGCTTTGTCTAGCAAATGATTAAGAATATCTATGTCATATTCATGCTCTTTACAAGTTGCACATGCTAGGTTCTTATCATTATCCTCATCTAAACATACAATTTTCGTTTTTAAAGAGTCAATTTCCTTTTCGGATCTACTTAAATTCTTCTTTACAACTTTATATTCATTTTTCAAATTCTTAAAGGCACTAAACAATTCATTGTAAGCATTTTGCAATTCATCATAGTTATTATCATCATCACTAGAAGATGTGTCGGAATCACTTACCTCAAAATCAGACGATATGTTGTCATTTGCCATTAAGCAAATATTGGCTTCTACTTCCGAGTCACCTGATTCCGAACTTGAATCACTGTTGTCCCAAGCAATATAGGCTTTCTTCTTGAAGAACTTTTTGCCTTTGATTTCATCGTTCTTCTTATTTGGACATTCGGTCTTTACATGTCCTGCTTCACCATAACCATAACATTTTATATTTACGGAAGTACTTTCTCTTACCTTTCCTTTACCTTTGAATGGATGCCTTCCTTTAGCTTTCATGAATTTGGTGAACTTCTTTATCATTAGACTCAACTCTTCTTCTTCATTTTCCGAGTCTTCTTCTTCCTTCTTATTTTTACCTTTGGAAATTTTGGTTTTGAAAGCTAGGTTCTTCTTTTGATATTGTCCTTCTTCATTTAGCCTTCCTAATTCAAGCTCATGCTCTCTAAGCTTTCCAAAGAGCGCCACCATAGACATTGTGGAAAGATTTTGTGACTCCGAGATGGCCGTCACCTTCGGTTGCCATTTCCTATCCAAAGATTTAAAAATTTTAACATTTAATTCATCAACGTCAAAGATTTTACCTAGTCCGGTGAGATGGTTCACAATATGAGTGAAACGCTTTTGTACGTCAAATATCATTTCGCCTTGTTGCATTCGGAACATCTCGTATTCTTGGATTAAGGAATTTTTACGTGCTCTTTTAACGTCGTCGGTTCCTTCGTGGGTCACTCTAAGCATTTCCCACATTTCCTGAGCACTTTTACAAAGAGAAATCCTGTAAAACTCGTCAAGGGTTAGAGCAGATGAAATTATATTTCTAGCCCTAACGTCAAATTGTGCTTTTCTGTTTTCTTCTGCAGTCCATCTAGAAAAAGGTTTGGGAACGTCAACACCGTTCTCAGTAACTTTAGGAACATATGGACCATTTAAAATAGCGTCCCAAACGCCTCTATCAACAGACTCTAGAAAAATTTGCATTCTTACTTTCCAGAAAGGATAATTTTGACCCACAAAAAGTGGGGGTCTGTTGATAGACGCACCTTCGGCAAAAGTTTGATTTTGTCCGACCATTTTCGAAAAATTTGAATGACTATCAAAGCAAGCTCTGATACCACTTGTTAGAATCACGCAACGGAATGATCGCGTGGTCGGACAAAAACCAAGAGGGGGGGTGAATTGGTTTCTTAATAAAAATTAGGTTTTCAAAATTTTCCCCAAATTTTACCGATTAAAAACTATGTAAATGTAAATAGAGAAGAGAAGAGAATCTTACACAGGAGATTTATACTGGTTCGGATCAAAAGACCCTACGTCCAGTTGCTAATCACTCAAACAGAGGATTAATGTTGTCATTATAATCAAGTTGTTACAAACAAATTACAATGAAAAGATAAATATAAGAAAACACCTCTCTTGAAATCCACAAGAGATGAAGAACAGTTTTTCCTAGAAATGGCACAGCACACAATCCACTAAGAACTCCACTTAGTGATTCTTATCACTTCTAGCCCACACTAGGTTCCAAAAGCCCCCTTTTTCTTGCAACAAACAGTTCTCTGGCACTCACAACACTTAACTTTTGTATGAAAAAGGTGGTTCTTCTTTTCTGAGTGCCCTAGAGAAGCTTAAGTAGAGAAATTAGGGTTTGGGAATTGGGAATTTCGGAATTAGGGTTCTTGGAAATAGGGTTTTCGAAAATAGGGTTGATTTATAGTTAAAAATCAAAATCTGACTGAAATAATCGATTAAATGAAGTGTTAATCGATTATTACCGAGCCAAAATCAACAGAACCCCAAAACTCTCTGTTTTAATCGATTAAAAGACCTGTTAATCGATTAATAGGCATGTTAATCGATTAACAGGGGTGTTAATCGATTAAAACAGTGAACAGATATAGAAAATGATTTTTCCCACTGTTTTAATCGATTAATTCACCAAATGATCGATTAAAGCTGAGCCTGGTTGATAAATTTGAGCTTTTTGAAGCTTCTAAGGTGCAGACTATGTACCAGCTATCTCAAACTCTAATATTACAGACTCAATCTAATCAAAACAGAGTTATTACAATATAAAACAAGTCTTCAACTCTCTAAGTCTTGTGTTCTTGAATCATCATCAAAATCAACAAGCTTCATGTCCATCAAGTTCAACATCTAGTCCTTGAATGTTCAACAGACACGATATTCAAAATAGCCATGGTGAGCACAAAAAGTCGTTTTCTGAATATCATTAGGATGCATGCGAATTTGGTGAAAGCCCTGTGCAAGTCAAGTTTGGTGAACCAATAAGCTCATGCAAGTTCATCCAGAAGTTCGTCTATGGTGGGAAGGGGAAATTTGTCTCTCACTATTATGGAATTCAAAGCACGAAAATCCACGCAAACATGCCATGTACCATGTTTCTGTTTTACAAGCAGTACAAGGGAAGAAAATGGGCTACAACTAGGTTGTATGAACCCAGATTGAAGTAATTCTGCAACATGGCGTTCAATCTCACACTTCTGCAAGTGTGGGTATCGGTATGGACGGATATTGGTTGGGGTAGTGTTAGGAAGTAAATAAATTTGATGATTGGTGGAACAATCAAGAGGTAAAAAGGTAGGTTTGGACAAAAGAAGTGAAAAATGGTCAAGAAGGTTGGTTATATGGGGATTGGAGTGACAAGGTGTATCCTGAGAAGAATGAACAGTTTCAGAAATATCTTGTATATGAAACAATTAGAGATAGATTTGGTACGAAGCATTCTTTTCACTGGATTTTCCAAAATGTATAAAGGCAGGGAAGGTTGATGAGCCTTAAATTCGACTATAGAACTATTACGAATAAACTTCATGAAGAGGGTTGTATAATCTTGCAAAACTAACCTAATTCCTTAAGCCATTGAACTCCAAGCACAACGCCCGCCCCACTTATTGGTAAAACATAAAGATTTACCACAAATGCTTGCCCCTATATAGATAAAGGAATATTAAAATAAACGGAAGTACAATAACTATGGTACCATTACCAATTGTTGAATATAGTGAAAAACTAGGTATATGGTTAATTTCCCTTATGTTTAAAATACACATAGGATAATATATTTATAATTAAGAGTCAAAGAAGTAAATATGGTAAATACATATATTGTGATTAATATCTAAAATATCTAGCACTCCCCCTCAAGCTTATGCATATAAATCATATGTACCAAGCTTGTTACAAATATAATCAATTGTAGGTCCCCATAAAGACTTGGTGAACATATCTACTAACTGTTCACTTGAGTTAACAAACTTGATCTTAATGTCTCCAAAATACAATCTTTTCTCGAATAAAATGACAGTCAACTTCAATATGCTTAATCATTTCATAAAAGACAAGATTAGAGATAATATGAAGAGCAGTTTGATTGTCACATATAAGTGTCATTTTAGTGACATCTCCAAATTGCAAGTCTTTAAGTATTGTTAAGCTAAACAAGTTCACAACACTACAAGAAAATCATTAATTACTAACGGATATGTAGTCACTAGAAAATGAGTGATTACCGAGGGAAATTACCGATGAATTTAAAGTATTTGTGAAATTTGGTCTTACTGACAGATATATGCGTCGGTAAATTAACAATTAGTTACCGACGGATATATCCGTCGATAATCTAACAATTAGTTTCTAACGGACATTACCGACAACCTCCACATTCACATGCCCTAGCCCATCCCTCACTCTAACCCTCATTTTCACACACTACTCCCCGCCTCACTCACACCTGACTTCCCTTCACTCATCAGGGCACCTCGGACCCCATTCACAACTAACATTCGCTTCCCCTACATCCAACTCCCCCCCAGCTAGCTACTCCCTCTTGCGACCCATCTCACACGCGCCACTCCTTCTCCTCACCACGCCAACCACAACGTATCTTGGCCGCACCACCCCCATCACGACCCACACCCATCATAAACATGAATCCAACCACCCTAGTCATGCACGTTTCTCTGTGGTGCCTCCACCATCTCACCCTAGACAGTCACCCGGTAGCCCTAGTCCCTCTGTGACTCTAATCTGCGTGAACTCCATCTTCGCGCCCACCGTGAGTCCCATCCAACCATTGGAATTGTTGCACCTCAGCCCCCTCCCCAAACCCACAACCATCATTGTTGCGTGAGCCGCCGATGCCGAGCCTTCCACTTCCATCGCGGGCCACAAAACAATCTAGGTCACTACTACTATTGGGTTTGAGAAAGATTCCTCTCAAGTTGTTTGTCCCATTTCACCCTTCTTTTGATAAATTCAGTTCTACTTTGCATTTGTCTAGTTTGGATCTGTTGTTGTGTTTGGTTTGATTTTACCATTTTCAAGTGGGTTCTGTTGGTTATGTCGGTCTGGCTTGATGTTGTCTGAGTCCTGAACAGGTTTGGTGTTGTCTGTGTTCTGATGGTTCTGTTTGGTTTTATCTAGGCCTGAGGTTTTGTTTGATGCCTCAGTCAGGATTGTGTTGTTCCACATTGTGGTTGTCCGATTTTGTTGGATTAACTGTAGTTAGGTCAGTCATTCTTATTTGGGTTTGCTCTGTTGCATTGTTAGGTTTGTTTCTGATCATCTTTGTTAGTCTCGTGTTTGTTTTGGTCTAGACCGGGGTTCGTTAAAGGTTAACTTGGGTTTTGTTGTCATTGAACAAACGTGTCATGATAATGAACTAAAATTGTGGTTTAATTTTGGATTGTTGCAAGACCCTATAGTTCAGATAGGGTTGTTAGGGTTAGTCTCGGTCTTTATCCTATGTTGCATCTTAACATTACTGCTGATTTCTCTTTGTGTCTACTGATTAAATTGTTGTATTGAACTTTATTATTAGAACTATTGTTTGGGTTGTATTGGGTTGTGTTGTATTTAAGTTGGATTGTTTGGGTCGTATTGGATTTTTTCCATGATTAGAACTAATCTATTGATCAAAGTTGTCTTGATATAATCAATCCTCATTATCATGTTCTCATGGTATGGTTGGTCATTTAAACTCTGTGGCCCTATTCGCAAGAATCTTTCTTTGTTTATCCTTTTTGTCAACTACAGGACTATCATGCACTACATTTACTCCATTTTTCTTAGTAGGCTCCAATCCATTCTCTTATTCTCACATGATCAAACAATCTTTAGTTCTGAAGAGATTTTATGACTTCTCCCTAATGGACACTACTGTTAAACTTGGACTATCTCTAGCATCCACAGTCTAGGTGTACTCAATAAGTCAACACTAATGTATTAAAGTTTCAATAAGATATATACAACACAATAGTTTTCAGCAACAATTTGCATGAACATCAAATACGATCACATGAAGAAATGAGTGTATGATGCATGTATGAGCTTTATACAAGTAAAGAATATTATATTTGACTGTCTAAAGAATATTATACAAATAAAGGAAGATTGTATGGGGCTGGAGAACTTATTCATGGTTGTCAAGGTGGTTCTGATAGCTTGAAGCATCAAACTCAAGCATCCAACTCCTCAATTGACTTAGAAGAGATGAATCAGTTGAGACAACGACTGTCTGTACAAGAAGAAGAAATTTTTCGAAAAAGGGAGCACAACAAACGACTAGAACACCAATTTAGAGAGTTTCAATGTGCAGTCATTCAATTTCTACCCCCCCCCGATGCACAATTTCTCATTTAATAACTTCAACATAGTGAAGCAGATACTGAAGAAGAACCCTAACAAAAACAAGTGAATGAAGAGCAACAAGATAACCCACCACAGGAAGACAACATACCAAAACATCATTCTCCTAATTATTCTATTAAATATTATACAAACATCTATAGAATAATATTTCAATTCTACTTGTATCTTGACCCTCTTTTTAGGATTGTACATTATGTTTCATTATGCATAAATGATAGTACATTTGAATTTACTTGTTATTAAGTTGAGTTAGATTTATGTTTAATTGGATTGTTGAATAGATCATTAAATTGGACTGGATTGAATGTTATCTATTTTACAGGTTATATGGAAAAAATAAAAATATAATGGGTCTAGAAATAGAGACAGTTTTATCGACGGATTAACCGATGGATTATCCGTCGGTAAGTTGCGCGCGAATAGCACTGATAATTATCGACGGATATATCCATTGATAAGTAATTTTAAAACAATTAACCTATCAAACTTTACCCACGGATATATTCATCGGTAATTACCCATGACATTTACCGACAGAATAGGAAAATTCGTCGATAAGTCAGACTTTACCCATGAAAATATCTGTCGATAATTACCCATGACATTTACCGATGGATTAGAAAAATTCATCGGTAAATTTTACCGATAACACAATTTCTGATGGATTTTTTACTGTCAATAATCTATCGGTAATATCTATTTACCGACCGATTTTCTTAGTTACCGACGAATCATATAGATACTGAAAATAAGGAAAACTTGTAATTGAATTAATACTGAAAATATTCAAACAATCATATATGACAACATGACAACTTAATAATAGGATAGAATTAAAATGAAAGTGCATTAGTCTCTGAAACGAATAGGCTTTATAATGGTTCTCTTGGGTCTACTGTTACTAATTAACATGGACTCTCTATCACATGCCCTTTTGTATGGAGCAATTTGTAGGGGAAGGTGATGCGTCGAAGATGACATTGCTGAGGGAAAGTGAGTTCAATTTCAGAGGTAGCATTTTGGTGTTTGAGGGCAACGAAGTGAGGTGCGAGTTGAGATCGAGACAAGAATGGAGATGACATTGAGATGATGATCTGGCACTGTTGCGAGAGTTGTGGATCTAAACAAGGGGTTCAACTTTTTTTCAAACTATTTCTTTCATGCTCCAAATGGTGAGAGAAATTGCAATTTTAGATATACCGGTGAAAGAAAGAGTGGAAAAAAGAGTGGGAAAGAGAGGGAAAGCGAATGGAGGGGACAACTTGTCGAGAAGAATGAGTATGACAAATACAAGTTTGTGCTAAGGTTTCCATTCCTTTCTTGAATATTATTTTGTATTGAATATTGATTTTATCCATTAATTTTATTAATGTTGATCCATTTTAGAACATGATATCAATTAAGGGGCACAATGAATCAAGCAACACAACTAATAAGAAAAAGCTACACTAATAATGTTGTATTAATGTGAAATAAACTGTACATGAATAACCTATTTCGAATTTTAGGACTGCAATAGGCATGTATCTCAACTATCTTGTTACAGGCACTAACTACCAATTTATGCCTTAAATCTCTCTGTTTCTTTATTCTCTTTTCCCCTTTTTCTGAATCCCTAATAAGATTTTCACTCCTTCAATTTATATATAGAATTTGCTAATGGGAACACTCTTTTATCTATTGATGAGCCCAACCTCATGTAACATGTTGGTGGCTAGAGCAGTGTAGCATGGTGGCTCTTGCCAGAGATAATTTAGTTGTTGGCAAGATTAGAGTGGCGGGAGACAATATAACTGAGTGAGTGAAGCATGAAAATGGGACTGACTCCTATGAGCAAAGGAAAAGGAAGAAAAAATTCTTTCCGACAAGAATAGAGTGGCGGGAGATGGTGTAATAGGGTGGGTGAAACATGAAAATGGGACTAACTCCAATGGGTAAAGAAAAAGGAGGGAACACAATTTCCTCCACGTGTTTTTTTTAATTAATTTTGGTGTATTTTGAACTCTTCTAAAAATATTAGTATTTATTTTGTAGAAAAAAATTGAGATGTTTAATGTTACCCCTCTTTAATTAAGTTTTATCAGATAATTTGAATTTGAATTATCGTAATAAAATGTAATTAAAGATGTGAACACCAAAATAGAGAAAATTTAACCACATAAAGATTAAAAATTTAGCTTAAAACAAAGTATGAGACCTTTAAAATAGTGAAAACTTAGAAATGGGTTTGGTGACCTAATATAAAGTTTGTGATTTTCAATTATTGAAAACTTATAAGTGGACTAGGAGGAATGTATATTTGAAATTTTAAAACTTAAGAATGGACTTCGGGAAATCTTGGATTTAAAATGTGGGCTTAGGACCCAATATGGAGCTTATGAAGAACTAGTAGTGCATATAATTTAAATATGAAAAGTAAGGGACATAGAGAGTCAACCACATTAATATTTTGCATGAACTGATAAACATGGGCACAAGGGCCCATCAACTATAGGCACGAGACCTTTTATGAAAACTTTTTAGGAAGACATATATTGAATGGAATAAAGATTAAATTGATTATGTATGCATATGAGTAGAAATTTGGGGGTAGATATTTATACTTAACCTAATCAAGTAATGTATGATATGTGATTTACAAATGAAGTATGACATGTAATAAATGATATGTGGTATATGATATGCAAATTCATGAAGGGTGTATGATACATTGTACTTTTGACTAATGATTTATTATTATTATTATTATTATTATTATTATTATTATTATTATTATTATTATTATTATTATTATTATTATTATTACTTAGTGCATCTTTTCCTACGCTTGACCCATAGGATTTCAAATGTATGAAGATTCAAGGAGGGAAGTAATCTTTGAATTGTATTTTCGTTTTAAAACATATTGAATATGTCTTCTTAAATTGGGCCATAATTATGTTTTGCTACTCAAGATTCTATATTGCCAACAAATAGTTGCTCTTGCCAACATCATTTAAAAAAAATCATCGCATTTTGCATGGTTTTTATACTGTCTAATGTAATTATAATGCATTATTAACATTATAGCATCTTCCTTTATTAGTATATAATCATGATGAAATGATACAATGAGATGATGGTTGAGACAATGTGTTTATATTTATTTCTGGGAATGGAAAGAGTGCATACAGGAACAATTTTGTTTAAGGAAGATGTAATAATACAAACACAAGGGATAATTTGAGGGTTTTAAGTAACAATATTAATCTTCATTTTTACAATTTTGAAAAACTCATCCATCAACCTCTGAAAACATATGACACTTTGTAAATTCATCCCTTGAGTAGCTTTGTGTGTACCAATCGTCTAACTTGCCCACAATATTCTTGAACTTTCACCATTGTAGGTTGTTATGATTTTTAAATAGGCCATTCTTTCAGGTTTTCAGCCTAGTATTTTTTTTTTTGGCTATTTGACCCTATTTTTCCTAAGTTACTCTTTTCGAGTTTTTAGCCTATCGGATTTCTCAATTTTGTCTAAATCGTCTTCTTACATTTTCAACCTAGCGAGCCTTTCTTTTTTTAATTTTTACACATAGTATTTCTTAATTTATCAGAGTTTACCGGGAGTGATAAGTTATTATCATCCACGTTTGTAAGGATTAGAGGAACTCGTGAAAAAGCTTTCTTTACCACATATGTCCCTTCGTAATTTGGTGTCCACTTTTCTCTTTGATCTTTCTGAGTTGGTAAGCTCTTCTTGAGGACATGAAATTTTCGAGGACGAACCTTTTATCATAAAATCTTTTCAACTTTTTTTTATACAAATTTCCATGACATAGGACAATCAATCTTTTTTCTTTAATAAGATTCAATTAGTCAAAATGAGTTTTAATCCATTAAGCCTTCTCAAGTTTTGTTTTAGCCAACACCCTTAGAGAGGTAATTTCTACTTCAACCGAAAGCACTGTCGCCATCCCATAAACCAAAAAATATGGAGTTGCCCATGTAGAAGTTCAAACAGACTATGATACCCATGTAGTACAAAGGGCAACATTTCATGTTAATCCTTGTATGTAACCACCATCTTTTGAATAATCTTCTTTATGTTTTTATTTGTTGCTTTTACTTCCCCATTCATCTTCAGACAATATGGTGATGAATTGTGATGTTGAATATTTAAACTACCACATAACTCTTTCATCATCTTGTTATTCAAATTGGTTCCATTGTCAGTGATGATCTTGTTTGGCAAATCATAGTGACAAATCAAATCCTTCATGATGAACTTAATCATTACATTCTTTATCACACAAGCATATGAAGTAATCGATTGTCACTAAGATGAAGTGATTTCCATTTGATGCTTTTGGCTCAATTGGTTCGATTACATCCATAGCCCCATATTACAAATAGTCACGGTGCAACCAAAACATTTAAAGATGACGTTGGTGCATGGATATTTTCAGCATATGTTTGACATTTGTGACATTTTCTTACATAATTACATTAATCACTTTCCATGGTTGACCAATAATAGTAAACTCTTAGGATTTTCTTTGTCATTGCATGTCCATTTGTATGTGTTCCAAATGAAAACTCATGAACTTCTTCCATTATCTTCTTAGCTTCGGCTATGTTAACACACCTAAACATCATCATGCCATGATTTATTTTATATAGCACATAACCATTCAAAAAAATCTCATTATCAGTCACCTGTCAATTTCTAAAGCATTAGGAAGATACTTTCTATCTTTCAAGTAACCTTTGATATCATAGAACCATGGTTTTCCATTTGATTCTTCCTATATTGTTTGGCAATATGTTGGTTGCTATTGATGATGCATTTTTATCAAGGGCATATCCTCTTCCTAGCTTATTTTAAACATTGAAGATAAAGTAACTAAAACACCAACTAACTGATTTTCCGCATGAGGGATATGATGGAAATTTACTTCATTAAACTACTCCAACAATCCCTTACATAAGCAATATCATACTTTGATAGTTACACTAACCAACGCAATTTGACTAGTGAGGGTTGATTTCTCAATGAAGACAAAATGAAGAAAAACCATACAATCGCCCCCAATGGAGATCTCAATCTAGTAAATTTTCTATAGGAAATTTTAATAAAACTGTAAATAATCCGCTCAAGTGTTTTAAGTGTGGACATGATCATTATACTAAAGATTGTCATCTTAAACACCTTTCTATTTCAAGTGTGGAAAACCTGGTCATATATTCTTTGAATGTCCACAACAAAAACCAAATTCTAATCCTTCTACACCAAAAATAAGACCTCCGATAATAGGAAGAGTGTATACCATGACTAGAACTGAAGTCTCTCAAAATAATGATTTGATCCAAGCTATGTGTTTCATTAAAGGTAAAACTTTAAATGTACTATATGATTCAAATGCAACTCGTTCATTTATTCCAATGATTGTGTTCAACACCTTGAAGTGTCAATGTCTTTTCTAGTCACTAGTCTGATTGTTTCAACTCCCACAAGTAAGTTTGTAATTACCAACAAAATTTATGTACATTATCCTTTGCTCATTTAAAATAGGAATTTTTTTGTAAATTTAATTTATCTACCTTTATCTCAATTAGATGTAATCTTAGTACGGACTAGTTATCTTCTAATCAAATCATTCTGAATTGTGCAGAAAAATCAGTAATATTTTCAAATTTTGATGATCTTTTGAATTTCTCTACTAACTCAGTAAGTGAGCCTTTGAAGAACAAAGTTAAAGGATATTTTTTATTATCTTCTATGAAAGTAAAGGAGGAAGCCAATTTGAAAAATATAGTAGTTGTTCAAAATTTTACTAATGATATTCCTGGTTTGCCACCTAACCAAGAGATTGAATTATCAATAGATTTGATACCTAGGACCAATTTCTATGGCACCATTAGGATGTCACCTTCTAAACTGACAAAACTGAAGAAACAATTGAAAGAATTATTTGAGAAACAATTCATTTGTCCTAGTGTTCATCGTGGGGAACCCTTATTTTGTTAGTTAAGAATGTTAGAATCAAGCAGCAGAATGTTCGCATTACGGACAAAAACCAAGAGGGGGGTTGAATTAGTTTCTTATAAAAATTAGGATTTTAAATTTTTTCCCAAATTTTACCGATTAAAAATGCTTGTAAAGTAAAGAGATAAGGGAAAGAAGATTACACAAGTAATTTATACTGGTTTGGATCAAAAGACCCTACGTCTAGTTGTTAATCACTCTAAAAGAAGATTAACACTGTCACTATAATCACAGTTTAAAATAGATTACAAATTACAAAAGATAAGGATTAGAAAACACCTCTCTTGAGTCACA